ATGTCTTGGGGTCTCTCAGCTTATACACACAGTCAATTCCACTTATGCATTATGATGTACGTTTACTTCCATAAAAAATATTTCTAGCTTTTTGACTTAGTCCTCTGCAGATTTCTTAATATAATAGGGCTTTATTGATAGTGGTTGATACAATTATACAAATTTTTCCTTTTTCTCTCGTTTGTTAATGAATAAAATATAGAAAAGCACAGATATTCAATGTATTCAGAAGCTTTCAACAACCCATCTGAAAATCCCCAGAGAAAAATATTTTAAAACTGAAGTTTCTCTACTTGCATCCACAAAGTAACAGATATGCTGTGCCAAGTTATCAAATCTGAATCTTGAAATATTCAGTTTAGCAGTCTTCACTGATTAAATTAGCAACTGAAATTTTCCACTTGATTTTTCTGCATAGTAGATATAGATTCTGATTTATCTAGGCTTGGGGGACTGTCTAATGACTCCACATGATCCCAAAATTGGTAGTGAGTTTAGATTTTTTTAAAAAGTAGTAACATTGATGATTCTATTAGCCAAAATGTGTGCTTGGAATTTTCATATTTTATGTAAACGCTTTGAGTCTGTATAGCCAAAGCCTTAAACTTTTCTTCCCTAAACTGAAAACTACTTGATTGCCTATTCCTCAGTGGCCCAAGGTAAGTCAACAGAAGCACTGTATTGAAATTAAACTTGAAGGCATATAAATTAATGCAAACCCTTTTTACCATGCAATAGTTGGGTCATCTATCTTTTCTTGTTCATATTTCTTCATTCTTCCACAGTATTTCCTCATAATAAGGATTTATATACAATGAGCTTAATTTCATTTTCTGTCTTCAAAACTTGGGATAACTATTGTATAAGAGAAGTTAAGAATATATTAATTGGTCCATGTAAACTAAACAAGTAATATTTAAAAGTCCATGGCCATGGTGTACTTCTCATGGTGAAACCAGAAAATATTTGCAATTTGAAAAAAAAAAAAAAAAAAAAAAAAGCTTACTGTCAAATAATAGTTGTGAAACACATATGATTATCTGTTCTATCAGACAAATACTACAGAATATTATTAGGTTTAAAATAACTTGTTAGAATGCAGTTTCATGGCAAAGCTTTGACTTTTCTGAAGTATCAGGTTTGCAACAAAAAGAATATGTTTTCTGTCATCGCTGACTCACAGACAGTAGAATTAGAGGATGAGATCAAACTGAGGTATCCTCTACGGCCCTTGACCCAGCCCTCTCAGCCTTTCTTAGGAGATTTAAACACATTTCCTCACATACTCTAAGAAAGGTCATGGCCAACACC